TAAAGACAGATGAAGAAGGGTAAAGTCAGGGCAGATGCTGCGAGCTACCCAAGGAGCAAGATGCCAAAGGACTGGTAAGCCACAGGCCATGTGGTGATACATAGATTAATAGAAATGGGTTAATTTAAATGTAAAAGCTAGTCAGTAATAGGCCTGAGCCATCGGCCAATCATGTATAATTAATATAAGCCTCTTAATGGTAATTTGGGAAGTGACTGCCAGGTATAATTGGGTATATGGGATAGAAAGCTCTGCCTCCAATTACATATGGCACTCCAACATGCCACACATATGTCAACATAAAGCCTGAGAAAGCTTAGAAAAAAAGGGTTCTAAAACACAGAAATGGAGCCAAAAACATCTTCCTAGTTATGTTTCTCATGTGGGCCATAGTATAGAGATGCCGTGGCATTCTGGCTTTAGCTACAGCATAGAGGATTCCTGCAGTCTCACACAAGCTGCAGTACAAGTATGAGCTGCGTGGCAGATTTAGGGTTTGCTCATACAGCTAAAAGGGGTTAAAGATACAAAATAAAAACAGATTCAGACAAAAAGTCCTCTAAACAGGTCACAGTATATTTGAAAGATGTGCATAGGCTTGGAGGAGAGAGGAGAAAGGGTATAGACACACATAAATTTAAAAAGTAATAAAGTCCTTGAGAGAGAAATAGAATAATAAAAAACTATGATAAGCCATGTAAAGACAGAAAATGCACAGAGAGTCTGGATTATGTATATTATTTTGCTGTATTTAAAATTTTTTGACTGCTATGAGAAATTTGATTATGGAAGCTGCTGGATTAAACCAACCTATATATTTTAAAAACTTCTTGATTTCAAATTTAAGTCAAAAGGTATGTCATTTTGGGGGAGAGCTTATGTTTTTATTTCCACAGAAAATGAGAGGCTATGGATCCATTCTGGGTTAAGGAAAATCAGGTTTGATCAAGGAAGAGCCCCTGAAATCCTGCCTACAGATGTGGTAAAATAAACCTAAAGTAACTACAAGACACATGACATGTATTTTACCTGCTCAAACATAAAACAAAAAATTACCTTTGACTGGTTTGTGTGTAATACACAGTTTATATTTGTATTTATACAGATATATATGTTACCTTTAAAAGTTTGTGTATTTTCAGAACAAGGGACCAGACACAAATAAAATTATATGGCCCAGATGATTCAGCATTTCAATATACCTCTGTTATAGTCTCTTCTGAGTTCTGCATCCAAAACATCTTCAAGAGTGCTGGCTGAGTCCTTTTTTTTTTTTTTTTTTTTCCGAGACAGGATTTCTCTGTGTAGCTTTGCGCCTTTCCTGGATCTTGCTCTGTAGACCAGGCTGGCCTCGAACTCAGAAAGATCCACCTGCCTCTGCCTCCCAAGTGCTGGGATTAAAGGCATGCGCCACCACCACTGCCTGAACACATGAACTATGAACCAATGGCTGAGGGGTCCCCAACTGGATCAGGCCCTCTGAATGGGTGAGACAGTTGATTGGCTTGATCTGTTTGGGAGGCATCCAGGCAGTAGGACCAGGTCCTGTGCTCATTGCATGAGTTGGCTGTTTGAAACCTGGGGCTTATGCAGGGTCGCTTGGCTCCGCCTGGGAGGAGGGGACTAGGCCTGCCTGGACTGAGTCTACCAGGTTGATCTCAGTCCTCGGGGGAGGCTTTTCCCTGGAGGAGGTGGGAATGGGGGGTGGAATGGGGGGTGGACTGGGGGGAACGTGAGGGGGGCGGGAGGGGGGAGAACAAGGGAATCCATGGCTGATATGTAGAACTGAATTGTATTGCAAAATAAAAAAAAAAAAAAGAGTGCTGGCTGAGATGGACCAGCCACACAAAATACCCTAGTCAGGATTTGACCATATTTCTAAATTTTCTCAGGGTCCCCAGTCCCCATAAGATTACCAGTTCCCCCTAATCAACAGGAAGTAGTCTAGAGAACTACACCCAAACTCCCAAAATATTTTTTATGAATGTTTGCTTTCATTTTAGTGGGGGGTTGTTTATAAATTGGTCATAGTCAATCTCTTTCTAAAGAAGAAAGGGGGATGTGATATAAAAATGATAAAAAGTGTAGATTATTGAATCTACTTTAATCCAAAAAACAACTGTTAATCTCAAAATATTTTATATTGGTAGGGATTTTAATTTATTGATACAAATTTAAAGTTAATTTTGTTACACTGTATGTATATTTCTACTATTGTTTAAGGTATTATGTTTATACAGCTCATTAAAACAATGTAATGTATAATAAAAATACAGATTAATAGTCATCTATAATAGTCAAACTTATAGTCATGTTAGTTTGGTTTTCTAGGTATACAAAGATATATTTCAGTTAAGTTCAGTTAGTTAAGTTCAAATACTTCAAAGACCTACAGAATATGGCATTTAAAATGTTTTAATAACCTAAGGCTTTTTATGTCAGTGAGACATGTCTGTACCTGGCAGCAACAATCTGTTCCCGAGAGGATGATGGGCACTGAAGACACTCCATATGGAGTTTATTTTCTTTTTGGCAAAACTGGCATATTAGGCAAGAAAATGCCCTTGCCTCAACTGCTGACAGTAAGTACGCTGTCCAATCTAGAGAAGCAGGACACAAAGGAAAGCAACTACCAAACTTTGCCAAGACAAGGTAGGACAGTCCTTCAAATTTTCCTGTTTCTGAAAAAAGTCTTTCAGATATGCTAGGCCTGTAGGCCAAAGATGGATGCCCCAATGCTACAGAGAAACTTTGGGTGAATATCCAGGCAGCCTGATGTACCTGTCATTAGGTAACATTACATCCTTCTGGAGTCTTTGATGGAGTTGAAGACTAGATAGTTATAATTATAGTTTTTCTTAGTTGTGATAAATGGTAAATTAGATATAAAACTTTAGACCCACCAAAATAAAATAGATAATTGAATGTTTTCTCTAATTTTATCAAATAAAAATGGTCTAAATATTGTAACTGTAATTCTTGCTTGATAACACTTTTGCTATATATAATTTTATTATGTTAAAGTTAAAAACCTTTCATTTTGATTAGACAGAAAGGGAGAAATGCTGTGGGATATCCTTCTGTACACTGTGAATATGTGTTGCCCTCATTGGTTGATAATAAAGCTGTTTGGCCAATGGTGATGCAGAATAAGGTTAGGCAGTACAATCAAATTGAAGACAGAGGTGAAGAATGGTGAAGTCAGGGCAGACGCTGTGAGACACCCATGGAGCAGGATGCCAAAGGACCTGAAAGCCATGGGCCAATGCATAGATTAATAGAAATGGGTTAATTTTTTTGGTGAGGAGACGTCTTTATTTTTTAAAAAAGTTTTTTTTTTCATTTTACATACCAATCCCAGTTTCCCCTCCCTCCTCTTCTATCACCCCCCCTCTTACCCCCTTCCCACCCCCATCCACTCCTCAGAGAGGGTAAGACCTCTCTTGGGGAGTCAACAAAGTCTGCCATACTAAGTTGAGGCAGGACCAAGCCCCTCCCCGCTGTGTCAAGGCTGAACAAGGTAACCAACCCTAGGGAATATGTTCCAAAATGCCAAGAAATGGGTTAATTTAAATATAAGAGCTAGTCAGTAATAAGCCTGAGCTATTGGCCAAGCATTGATAATTAATATAAGCCTCTTAGTGATAATTTGGGAAGCAACTGCTGAGTATAATTGGGCAGACAGGACAGAAAGCTCTACCTCTGATTACACAAACCAAACCAACCAACCAAACAAAAAACCCCAACAACAGTGGGATCCATTATGTATTGTTCAACTACTTTTGAACATGAAGACTGTGCAGGAATGGTTGATATACCCAGTGTTACTCTATTGGAGAAAACTGATTTTCCCTCTCCCATCATGTATAAACTCCCCATTTCTAACAGAATGACTTTCAAAGGCTAGATGCAGCCGGGCGGTGGTGGCACACGCCTTTAATCCCAGCACTCGGGAGGCAGAGCCAGGCGGATCTCTGTGAGTTCAAGGCCAGCCGGGGCTACCAAGTGAGTTCCAGGAAAGGCGCAAAGCTACACAGAGAAACCCTGTCTCGAAAAACCAAAAAAAAAAAAAAAAACAAAAAAACAGAAAAACAAAAAAACAAAAAACAATCAAAGGCTAGATGCTAATTAACTTTGGTTAATGAATAAACTGATGAGCATGAATTACAGTTTAAAATACTTTATTAACACTTATACTCTTCAGTAAGATAAACAAATAAAAATACATACTTTCTTTGTATGAAACAAAGTGAAATAAAGAAAACCAAAAGCTAAGTATTTATCCTCTAAGTATTTTCTTTTCCATTTTTGCTATCTCATTATTTAACTTGACATTGACTATGTTTTGACTCAGATTTTAGTCACTGAGCCAATAAAACCCTAAGATTGAACAGACTAGTAAATTCAAACTGATGTAGACTTCTCCCTTTCTTCTCATCTTTTTTTTTTTTTTTTAAAAATTAGGTCCAGTTAATGCTACCCATGTGGGCATAGGTGTGGGTTCATCCACTGAAACATGGAGAACTCACTAGTAGCCACACCCCTAAATAAAAGTGACCCTCTTTCCCCAGAATAGCTTCAAACTATTAAAGGGCAGAAAATGTATAAGCAAACTCATTAATAATTTTACATTTAAAGGCATTGAAGCCAATTGAAAAAAACATCTGAAATATTACACAAAAAGCAAAATGAAATTTAAAGTAACAAATATGGCAGAGGAATGCAATGATGATATTCATTGTGCTCCTTCTATACCTATGCTGCCCATCTACTACTTAAAATATTCACTGTCCTTAATTTCCACACAGGAAATTTTCCTCGGACTTCAATGTATAAAATATAACCTAGAATTAAAAGAGAGAAAAAGGTAAAACTGGAAGTTACTAATATACAACAGAAAAGAAATACAATCACTTGTTCCTCTCAGCCCATATTAACCTTTCACTATTAGTTAGCTGAAAGACCATTACAAACAAATAGTGAGGAAATAGCCTTAGCTATTACTTAGCCTGAGAGGAGCTGCTGGTGATGGTTTTTGAATGTGAACTGGCCATAGCAGCAGTGCGAGCCCTGGCTGCAGACCTGGCTCGAGCTCTTTCTTCCTCATCTTTCACAGCTATTTCATACAAGGCTTCAAAGGCATCTGGTGTAGTATCATGGATCTTGGCCCAAAACTCCAGGATTTTCATCTTGCTGATTTCAGCCTGGGCTCTAGAACCCCATGTGAATTCAAAGGATGGAGGATTGCTGTTGGGCACTTTTCGGGACTCCAAGTACTTCAGCCTTACCAAATCTTCAGTGATAACTTTCTTAGGATCTCCGTAGATGAAGTGTTTTCTGTTAGCATATACACCCATCATATTCAGCACATCCCAGATATCCTTTTCAGAGGCACAGTTATTTTTCATGAAGATCACACCCAGCACCATCATTAATAGGCCAGTATTGGGCATATTTTCCTCACCCTTCACTCCATCAAAGGTACGTTCTAGTTTGTTGAAAAGGGCATAGCAGTGCCTGATAGGATCCACTTCCTTCAGATCAACACCAAAAGCTAGTTCCATGTGCTCTGAGGCTCTCTTTAGGATCTCACTGAAGTCATTTTTCGATGTTTTGACAACAGATTTCAGCATATCTGCCTTTGTAATAACCTCTTTCTTTTGATACTTATCCATCAGGAACTGCACCAGTAAGACTACTTTGCGGTTTATAGGATCTTTATTCCAGGCCACAGTGTCATCAGAGTCATCTGAACTTTTCTCATCTTGGTTTCGGGCACCTGTAGTGTCTGAAATGGTACAGTGTGCTCCCTGCAGCATGTCGGGAGGTGTAGGCATACCAGCATCAGAAACAGATTGATGTGGATACTCATAGAAAGGACCTGGAGAGGCCTGTTCCTCCAGTGCATTTTGAGCACGGACCTGGCGACGCTTCTCCCGGGCACGGAGCTTGCTCTTCTGGCCACGAGGCATGATGTTCGTAGCAAGGAACACAGATAGTGCTGCAAACAGGTTAAGGAAGAGGTCACCCTGGAAAACAGAGGATGAAATAATTATACAATCTCTGTTGGTAGATGCTGCCATTACTCCATGAAAGGCCGCCTCGCCGGGTTCCCTCATACTGACTTAGCAACCCAAAAGGGAAGGGGAGATTTAGACCTTGTCATCTCAGTTTCAACTCAAAATATTAACTTTCTTCCTGACCAGTACTATTTCTCTCTTTGCTAGAGGCTGCCTCCTTCTATACACACTGCATCCCCGATTCCCAAGTGGAAGTATCGGGGCACAACGGCAGTAGTCAGAGACACCCGAATTAAACAGCAGGGGTAGGATAGGGTAATTTGGAGCAGGTCTCTTTGAGAAGGCCTCTGGTCTGTGGGGAGAGGGTTCCAGAAGATACCTTGACACTGGGACGTTCCTAAGATTCCTCACCAGACGCTCAAACCAGCTTCCTGAAGGCTTCACGGGCCTCGAAGAAAAGCGGAGAATAACGGCAGTTGAAGAAAAGCGGATATTAATTATCCATTTCCGGTCACGCCCACACAGCCCTTTTAAAAAAAAAACCACGCAGGCGCAGACGGAAGTAGGGGACTGTATCAGTCAATCATTGTTCGGAAGGTTGGTGCTTCACAGGAATCTAGTAGTTTTTTTTTCTTTGACTTTTCACTGTGGCTTGAATTTTTCACTCTCATGAGCAGAGTCCACCTGCCTCAGATCCAGAATCTCATTTCACTGGAGTACTGACTATGAAATTTGAAGCCTACATTTAGTGGCCATTCCTGATACGTTTCACAACAGACGACAGAAGTGGAGTTTTGTGGGGCGTCTCGTGTGGATGACGAGTGTTATCAGTCCTCATTCAGTATCTTACCATGACCCATTATAAGTGCTGAGATATTCACAATCTGCTGACTGTAGAACCTTTGCACCAGGTAAGACATTAAATATACAAACAATTTAAGTGGTATCTGAACAATAATACTCTATTCAACACAAATAGACATATCTTATGACATGAATTGGAATGCCCTTTACTTAGTCTGTCACAAAATTTTCAAACTGGCTTTGATAAAGATTTTATGTGTTTTTGTTAAGTCTCTTCTTATAAATATTTTGGGTGTTTTTTTAAAATTAAAGCTGATATAGGAAACAAATATGTATACTTATAGGATATGAGGTAAAGGTTCAATACATGTATGTATTAAGTAATGTTTAAGACAAATGTATTTATCTTAGTAAACATTACTTGTAGTAAAATATATTTTAATTCTAGCTTATTAAAACACAGTGTAATTTTGGGTGATGGTCACCATACTGTGCACTAGGACAGCATAAATTTTTATTTTAGTATCCACTGATTGGCCTGTGTTCATCTCTCTATCTCTGAGTCTCCCCAGGTTTTGCCAACCATTATTCTACTCCTAAGTTCTATATGTCAGCTTTTATAAAAATGAATGAGCCTGCCTATATGTATTCAGCATATTAAATAGAAATCAATGGGGTATACAGCTCATTCATTCATTTTTCTATCGGAATAGCTTAAATGTAAAAGCAGTAAGCTAACATTTATCTGACAGTATTTTCACAAGTAGAACAATGATAATATAACACAATGAAGAGCACTCCATGGCATGTTCAACTAGAACATCTGGCTTTCAGTGATAATGCAGCATACCTGTGAACCTGCCAAAACCTGCGTGGGCCTCAGTATCTGTTATGTTAGTTTGTTATATAATATTTATTTTTGTCACTGCTTATATTAATCAACTTTGTCACTGTGAGAAAATAGTCAAAATAAACAAGTTAAATGAGAAAATGTTTATTTTGGCTAACACTTTGACATCTGGTTCTATTGTTTCTCTGTCTTCGATGACATGTAAACATAGAAACTGAAGGTCATGGTAAGAGAGTGCTGCTTATCTCATGGTAGCCAGGAAACATAAACAGAGGGAAACTGTGAGGATAAGATGATATCCTTTTAGGTCTTTAAAGGAGTGTTCTTTATCCAAACCATAACAGTGATACTTATTAAAACAAAAGAAGAAACTTACATTCTGTAGGTAACACATAAATTATACAAAAAGTTCAAGAACAATGATACTAATTTTGTTGAGAGGGAATAAATTGTTGAACAAAGACAACAGCTTGTAACTAATAATAATATAATACGTTGTAACTAACTAGTGGTAAAGTTTTCCTTTGTTAAGGAAGTGAAAATTTTAGGGATTTAAAAAGGGGAAAAGAAACAAAGTTAATTATTTCAAACACTAGAGGCTTTTGCATATTACCTATAAAGTGTTATTTAAAAAATCTTAAGAATAGTGTAATGACTTGTACCAGCAAGGGATATAGCTAGGGATGTAGCTCAGTAATACAATACTTGCTTACCATGTGAGAAGCCCTGGGTACAATTTCTAGTACACAGTAAAAGAAGAAAAAGAGGACAGAAAGAACAAAGATAAAAGTTTAATTCGTTTACAAATATTGTTTGTGTGTTATGGTGTTGAGACAGTTAAAATCCGATCAAATAAAGTGTTTGAATTTGTTGTTTGCTTGTGTTTCCACTTTTAATGGGATATTTAAAGCTTGGCCTCTTAGGATGCATTGGCTACTTAGAGGGCAGGTTAAATTACTAATTGCCGTATGTTTATGTAAGTCCTAAGAAAGAAAATTTTAATCAGACTAGTTTCCCAGACTGGTTTATCGATATAAAGTATAACTGGATTATACAGTGAGGCTCATAATGATCGCTATTCTTTGTACTAAAATATACGCTTACAGTTGAGCAATGCAGACATTGAAGGGAGAACTTTACCAAAGTTATGAAAGCAGCAAAGGATGAATGAAAAAGAGCTAGAAAAGAAGATTGTGAGAAATGAGAAAGATTCCTTTATTTATATCTAAATAACTTTAGTTTCATATACTGTATTCAGCTTTGGTCAATACTTACTGTTGTTACATATCATTTTAATAATTAAATAATTGCCAGACATTAGTCCCAATTATTAAATCAATATTATAGTCACGATGATGAAAGCAATTAATGCATTATTATAAGATTTCTGTCAATGACAGAATTGTTATAAGCATAAACTTGAAAAACCCATAGGAAATATTATCTTAGCTTAGTGCTTTTAGAAACCCCATGGCTTTTATCAGGTGGAAAATTAACTATATTTTTTATTCAAGTCAGATAGGATTCTCAGAGTCAGATTTATGTATTTTAGAGCAAGGATATGATCTTAGTCTAAGCACCTTGAATAAAAAATTCAACCTCGCCGGGCGGTGGTGGCGCACGCCTTTAATCTCAGCACTCGGGAGGCAGAGCCAGGCGGATCTCTGTGAGTTCGAGGCCAGCCTGGGCTACCAAGTGAGTCCCAGAAAAGGCGCAAAGCTACACAGAGAAACCCTGTCTCGAAAAACCAAAAAAAAAAAAAAAAAAAAAATTCAACCTCATGCCAAACTATGGTGGTTCATGACTTTAATCCCAGCACTCAGTAGGCAGAGGCAGGGGGATCTCTGTGAGTTCAAGGCCAGCTTGGTCTGTATAGTAATTTTCAGGACAACCAGAGCTGTTGCACAGAGAAACTCTGTCTCCAGAAAACAATAAATAAATAAATAATTCAACCTTATAAAACTTCTTCCCATTTTAATATTTTCTGGTCTACAGAATATATAACGCATATTTCAGTCTAAAGTTATTGTTTGGCAATATAATTTGACCATATAATAGACAAAGGGCTGAATATAAAAATGTAAGTAAAAAGTGAGCAGATCCTGCCTCATGGAGCTTACTAATTTTATCAAGGAAAGAAAAGATAGATATAAATCCAAGAGAAACACATTTATATACATACTACAAATTGTTGAATATTATGAAGAAATGTATATGGAAATAGAACCATAAAAGACTATGTGATCCAACAGGTTTGGGAAGGCTATCCTGGAAAATTAGCATTTACAATTGGAAAAATGATGACTATCATCTAGATTGCAAACAACGGGGTGAAGTTTGAGGACTCTTTCTTTTAAGGAATTGCCTGGGCGGAAGCCTGAGGGAAGGATCTGCCTCATACAGTCAGCAGCATGAATGCAAAGTGAGTGAGGCAACTCTATACTAACAACAAGAAACAAAATCAATAAAAATCCAGTAAAGATTTTAAAGCAAGGGGACAATCTGATACGATGCGTATTTTGATTAAAAAAAAAAAAGACTACTGTGGCCATAATGTAAAAATAAACATTTGTAGGATGCACACACACACATGCACACACACACATACACACACACACACACACACACACACACACACACACATACACACACACACACACAAATGTACACAATATTGTAAGAAACAGATTTAGATTTAGATACACTTACATTATTTCAGCATGCTGGAATTTGAGATGCAGTAATTTGAATAGATTTGGAGGCAAAATGTTGAGTAGCATTTGCAAGAATTATGTATTAGTTTAAATAAGAATGGTGTATGAGGGGACCATGTCAAGAACATCTATTTTTATCTGTAGCATATGCAACTTCATTCACAGTTGAATCACCTACTAAAACTGAGAGTTCTCTCAGTGTTCAGTAAACACAGAAGGTGGGAATGATGAGAATGAATTTAATGTAGAAATATGATTATAAATTCAATAGGAAAATGTTATATTAAAATCACATTTATATTTTGATAAATATTCAGGTGAAGATATCAGATAAGTAGAAACACACACCTGAACATTGGAAGAGAAGTTTGGGCTTGAGATATGCAGTAGAAGTCATGTGTAAGTATTTGAAAGTGGAAGAAATAATCTGAATGGGATTGGTAAGGAAGAAAGTACAGAATGAAAAAAGATATATGAAAAGAATTCTGTATTTAAAGAATGAGCAGAGAAATATATTCATAGTAGAGTATGTAAAACACATGCTTTTCCAGAGTGTGTAGTTCCCATGAAAATGTAATATACATTTCATCCTTAATTAGCAAAAGTAGTGAATACTTATTAAATGTTA